CGTGCAGGAGGCAGCCAATCAATGATTCTCTCTCATCATTGATGTTTCTATCTCTCCCTCCCTCTCCCGGAAATCAATAAAAACATGTTTAAAAAAAGAAGAAATTATTGCCCTGGTCGCTGTGGCTTAGTTGGTTGGAGCATCATTTCATGCACCGAAAGGTTGCTGGTTCGATTCCTGGTCAGGGAACATGCCTAGGTTTTGGGTTCACATACTGGAGGCAATCGATCAATGTGTCTCTCATACATTGTTTCTCTCTCTTTCTCCCTTCCCTGCTCTCTAAAATCAGTAAAACATATCTTTGGGTGAGGATTAACAGATACATTACTCATTAAAAATAATCTGAAATTCAAATCGCACCAGACGTACTATATTTTCGCTAAACCTGGCATTCCTTCCCCATCTCTGTTCTCTTTCTGCTTGCTTTGTTTTGTTTGCTCTTGTCTTTCCCTTGGCAGTCCACTTTCACCTTCTCTGTTCTCTTAATGACCTTGCCCCAAGGTCAGAGGCATCCCTAAGCCCCTGACACCCCCAACTAGGTCCCCCCCCCTCCTCCCAGCCCAGCCCTGTCTCTAGGGCCATCTTTTTCCTCTAGAGACCTCTTCTGTCTTCTTTCTTCATCTCTCTTCTCATCGAGGAACCGGACCTCTGCAATTCTCCCTCCCACCCCCACCCCTGCTCCCAAGAGGAGGTTTGGAGGCTTTGAGGGAGTGAGGGATCCACCTTTACTCACCTGCATCCTGGCCTCATGTCCTTTCCTTTCCATCTCCTGGGCCAGAGAGGTCATGAGAACTTCCCAAAGTCACACAGCAGAACAGAGACTAAACACCACCCTCTCCTCCAAATCCCTTCCAAGTCCCGGCTTCCTGGTGGAAAATTCCTCTACTCTTCCCTGAAAATGGCCCGACTTGGTGATATTTCTAAATACCAGGCAATATGTGACAGTCACAGGTCAGGACCAGAGGTGCCGGTGAGCAAGGCATGGTAGATTTTTGAGCATCTACTAAGTCCTAAAAGTTGGGGAGATGGCTCACAGGCTCTTAACACAAGACCAGTGACTTGTCATGGCTGTTGCCATGTCCCTAGGCCTGAGAACATAGAAGGTGCTCCATAAACGCCTGTTGAATGAAAGAACGAGTGAACAAATGAAAAAACATACCCCAAGCGGTTGAGGACGCCTTTCCATGTCTTGTCTTTATCCCCATCGCTGTCTCTTACTTTGTCTCACCGGCCTCCTTTTCCCTCCTGCCCCCCTCTCTTGGCTTGTCATTCTCTAGAATCCTGTTGTCATTTTTTCATCTGAGGGGTTTCTCTCCAGTGACCACTCTCTGCTGGGCATCTCCTCTGTGTCAGGTGATTCGCTGGTGGAATCCTTCTGGAATATTCCAGAAGGTAAGGACAGCTTCTCCCGGGTGTTTTCCAAATGTGGAGGCTGAGATCCAGAAAGAAGGGAGGTGCCCTGGTCACTTCAGAACCAGCGCATCTGGCCTCTCCCTAGACACGTCTCTTGTCTCTCCCTCTCCCTCTCTCCTTCCTCCTGCTGGCCACCTCGACACCTGGCACCTCCACGCATGTAAGGAGATTAGTATCACATAGCACGGAGGCTGCAAATCCCAATGCGCCCAGGGGCCAGGCCTGTGACACAGCCCCCTGCCCAGGAAGATGGGCAGCGACTCTCCAACTCATCCAGTTATCTCCACTCCAAGAGACCACATCCAGTTTCTCAGGAGGGGCTGGAAAGCCACATTTCCAGAAGCCTCCCCAGGATGAAATGCTAGGATTGAATTCACACAAACGCTGTTCGGCCCAAACAAGATGACGTGTGCCCCAGGCAGGCCGGCTGGCGGCGGCTTGCAGCCTCTGAGTTGATTTTAGTTCCATGTGCCAGCTTCTGTGCTGAGGAATTTCCAGATTCCAGTAGAATAGGCAGGCGTGTGGGTCTGTTGTTAATTGCTTTATCCCCAGCACCGAGCACAGCGCCTTCCCCATCATAGCTGCTCCACATATATCTTTGAAGTGAGTGGTGTATTAAATCCTAGCAGACGCCATAGAAATAACAATAAAAAAAAAATCTCCATTTTGCAGATGGGGAGATGGAGGCACAGAGGGGCAAAGTCCCAGGGTTTCATAGCAGCACTGGGACTTGAACCCGGATCTCAACTGACTCCCACACTGTAACCCTAGGCCAGTGGTTGGCAAACTGCGGCTCGCGAGCCACATGAGGCTCTTTGGCCCCTTGAGTGTGGCCACGAAGTTTCAATCACACTGTGGTATTTTGTGCAAGAGCCACGCTCAAGGGGCCGCAGTTTGCTGACCACTGCCCTAGGCTACCCTGGCGTGCGTGGGGTTGTGCCTGTGCAATGCTGTGTGTGGGGATGTGTGCCCGGGAGCGTGTCTGCGGGACCGTGGTGCCAAGGATGTGCCATGTGGCGGTGCCCATCCTCCTGGTTGGACACTGAGGCCTGGAAACGAAACCCGGGGCACCTGCTCCTCTCAGACACACCTGCTCTGGGTGCTCATCCTGTCCAGAGAGAACATTCGGCCCCGCCCCTCCGTTGCCCATCCTCAGGGGTCCCCCCACCCGCCTCCCCTAGATGCCCAGAGCCCTGGGGGAGAGGGGGAAAGAATTCAGGATGAGGGTGGAGGTGTGGGGAGGAGGCAGAGGGAAGGGGATGGGTTAAGAAGGAGTGTGTGATGTCAAGCAAAAAAGACAACATTAGACA